CGCCTGATGTGCTACCGCAGGGGAGAGATTGGGAGAAAGAGGTCATGTGTGGCATCCATGCGCACCCGTCTATGAATCATCTACACATACACGTCATCTCCGTGGACAGGTATAGCGATCGCTTGAAGCACAGGAAGCATTACAATAGCTTCTCAACACCTTTTTTCGTCGACATCGAGGATTTCCCCCTCGCCAAAGATGATGCGAGACGACATCCAGACCGAGAAGGGTATCTACGGAGAGACTTCAAATGTTGGCGATGTGGGAAGGATTTTGGCAACAAGTTCACCGAATTGAAAAGCCACCTTGGAACAGAGTTTAACGAATGGAAACGACTGTGATCTTTAGGAGTTCCCATCATATTTGTCAGTTTTCATCCGTGCGTCTTAAATGGCCGAAATCGTAGACTTGTCGGGCATGAGCTCAGTATGGTAATTTGATTGATAGTAACAGGTTTGGCTTTCATATGCCAACATTATCTGATGAGTTTTATCGTCAATATACACATGCCATCCTGGACAGAAGCCGCCTGAACTTCTTGGCCGATTACATTCTCAGTAATCTGTTGCCTCGAGTCGGCCCACTCTGGCCTTCGCCAACAAGACCATGGATGGTCTGTACGCAGCCACTAAGTATCGTCAGTGTCAAAGCCACCTTATCCGCCTCGAGACCTTTAGGCACGGCTCTTAGACCGGGAGCTACCCTTGACCTTTCTGGCCTCAGGGCGGTTGATGTGGTGAGCTGGGATCCATTCGGCGTTGTAGGTGGTAGCGGAGGAAACAGCAGGGCTACTAGGTCCTTCTTCGGCCTTCTTGGATGCGCCAGAAGACTTCTTGGAGAACTCGGAGGCCTTTCCGCCCTTGCGCTTCTGAGGGAAGTATGGCGCAATCCAGACGGTGTAGAAGAAGTAAACGGTACCAGCAAAACAAGCCAGGAGGAAGAAGTAGAGGAAGATACTAAGGCCAAGAACAATAAGTTAACAGTCCCTGGCCACGAACGGAATTTTGGAGTAGCTCACATTTGGGGATCGAAGATGCTGGTCTCGGGCTCGACAACGCTGACGGTGCCATTGTGGGCATACACAGTGAAGAACCTTCCCTCGCTGTCGGAAATGATGGACGCGATGCTAAGTCTCAAGTCCTGAGGGTGCATTTCAGTGGCGAAGCTGTAGCTAACACTCTCCTTCTGGCCAGCGGGGATCTCAAGGCCGTATCTGGTGGCAGTCAGGTTGCGAACAATTTGGCTGTTTTCATCGAGAGTCGACAAAGATCCGCCAATGAAGTTGACGGTCACAGGAGCAGGTTCATCATTGGTGAAAGTGATCAATGCCTGCGTTGGGTGGCCGTTGACAAGCTTAACGCCGAAGATCTCGGAAGCAGGGAAGGAAGCCTCCGCCGACACAGCGAACTTTGGGACCTCGGGAATGTCCTGCGTATTCTCGGCAGCATCCTAGAGGTGGTCAATCTATGTGAGTAACTCAATTGACCTAGAATGATAGCAAAACTTCAATTCGCGACATACAGCTGCGAGACCACCACCGATGAGGGCCTGGACGGAGAACAAAGCCAGCGAGAGAAGACCGAAGCGAGCCATGGTAGTATAAGACTGGACTCAGACAAAATCTGATACCCCGGGTAAGAAGGGAATAAAAGAAAAAAGAAAGAAAGAAAGGGGATGAAGAGGAGTGGAAATGGTAGGACAGTGGAAGGGGGGATTGGATTTGGAGGTGCTTTTTCTCCACGTAGTCACAAGTTGGGAAATTCCCCATGCGCTTGCTGACTCATGTAAACCAGCATGCAGCTTCTGATTGGCTGTTGTGTAGGTACTTCCTCCCACTGTTTATCAACTTGCTTGGAAGAAAGTACTATACTTGACTTCTTGCTTGCAAGGTGAAATTCTAAAGAAACACAAGAAAAGGGAAAGGCAGCTGTAGATATTTTATATTTTTCATTGAATTTTATTATTGAAAGTTATCAGAAGTGAAACTTAACTCTAGTGAATTTCAATGTCTTTGGATTCAGGTTCCCAATTTCTACACCCTTCCTTTTAGAACTGTGAATGATAACACAAACTAAGTAGCTTTTAGATCTAATTACTTTCGCATCGTCTGTAGACCTCCTCCTTACTCTTCTAATACCCCGTACCCCGTACTATCACCAGCTTTTCTCGGCGACGTGAGCTACCTTACAACCTTATCCATCGGACCCGCCATAGTTCACTATGGAAGCTCAGGCCTACGCTGAGCGCTATAGACAGGTGAGGTCTATAGAGCAGGCCAAGAACTGTCTGATTGAGGTAATCATCTCAGCTTCACTTCATCTTGAGTCTCCATATTAATGTTATCTTTCTCAAACTAGGAGCTTCTGCAGCGAGTGACAGAGCTTGAAGAGGCTCTTCGGCGCCAGAAACTTGACCATGAACGCGAGAAGCATTTTAATCGCGAAATTCAGATCCATGAGATGGAGTTAATAAACGAAATTACCAGAATGAACGGACTCATGGTGAGTCATGGCAGAGCCTTCTGTTTCGTCTCCAGCTAACAACGTCTCCGCTATCATTGTAGCATCGTGAACCCTACATGATTGTCCTTCTGGACGGGGAAGGCCTAATTTTCAAGGAGGAGTTCCTGAAGCAAGGTGAACAAGGTGGAAAAAATGCAGCAGAAGAGCTTTCAACTGCATTGCAAGATTACATTACCACTCATTTCCCAAGCATTGCCTCATCCAAGATCATGACGATGGTCTACGTGAATGTGAAGGGACTGGCCGACCTCTGCATTCAAGGAGGAATCAAAACGGAGCTCTCAGTGCTCGAGGGATTCGTTAGAGGCTTCAATGGTAGTAGCCCGCTTTCTAATATCATCGATGTTGGCGCTGGCGAGATAAAAGCGAGCGAGAAGATCGAAGGTACGTGATGCAATCCTGATTGTGCAGCCTGTCTTTAAGCTGCGATTGGCTCTGGGTGAGTGCTAAAACGGTGGTTGGTCAGAGATCTTCAAGCTCAATCTATACAACTGTCATTGTCATCAGATCTTCCTCGGTTGCTCACAAGATGATGCGTATGCTCGGTTTCTCAGAGAAACAATAGTGGACTACAAGTACATGGGGAGAGTGACTCTCATCGAGGGCGTTCCATTGGAGGGGGACATGAAGACGATGAAGCCATCCTACAGAGCCGCGAAGTTCACTCATATCTTCCGAGAAACGAACATCGCACCGGCATCGGCTCCCCAGGCAGCTGCAGTTGTTACCAAGCCCCGTTCCTCCCTTACACCATCGCCAGTTCAGCATGCAACACAACTCTCGGGAACATCCACAAATACCACGATGACAAGCAACAGTCCTGCATTGTCGACCTCCTCAAAGAAAATGCCAAACTCCGAAAAGTTCCAAGTTGTTAGCTCTATTCGCTCTAAGGCATCGAGCTCTCCACCTCCCAAGATCGTGGAACGGAACAAGTACGGTCAGCGTGTCGATCGCTTTGATATCAAGACAATCCCCAAGGATGATTTGAACCGCATGAAGAAGCTGAAGCTTTGCAATTGGTTCCACTTGCAGGGCAAATGTCCCATTGAGGATTGCCAGCACGATCATTCACGCAAATTGACCAAAAGCGAGTACCGTATCCTGACGGTCGTTGCACGCATGACGCCTTGTCGCTACGGATTCGAGTGTGATGATCCTGATTGTATGTACGGACATCGTTGTCCTCATAGTGTGCCAGGCAAGAAGGATTGCGTCTGGGGCTCGAATTGCCGATTCGATGCCGCCGCCCATGGCGTAGATACGACAATTGTCAAGGTCACCAAGATATAATGCAACCTCGCCGTTACAGTCTTGGACAGGCTCACAATCTGTGCAATTGTGGTCACCTGCTCGGCACACTGGGATGCTTCTGGAGTTGCAAAGGTTGATACGGCGTAATCGAGGTTTTGTTGCATACGACATCGGATGGGAAATATGTCTATGTGGTCGATTTGATGCAATGGTGGAATTTACTCTTCGTCATGTCGATTGATTGATTCTCTTCTTTTGCCTCGCATGCTGGACTTGATGACTTGATATCTCCTTGGCATCTGCCTTTAACTTGCGTTTGTTCTTTAGCTAGGCCTCGGCTCAGTGTATGTATCTCTGAACATATGATGCCCGGGAATAAACCAATTTTGAATTTAATCGCCCAGGCAGTGACTTCAAAATGTTGCCGTATAGCTTCGTGAATTGGGTGAGCGCCCAACAGCCGTATCACAAAGATTCTCTTTCCAACAGCGGATATACTGAAGTTGAAAGAGTATCACACACCCAAAACATCACAGTCTCTAGGAATCGACGCTATCAAAAGGATGACCTAAGTATCCAGTAGCTCATCGCTTGACTTCGAATGTAGGACAATCATGTAACCGAGTTTTGAATGAGACGAGCGTTCCTGATAGATAATACAAGCAAGCGTCCTGATAAGGACGCATCACATTGCCGGGATGGTGATTGCTTAGCAATCAAGGATAATTATGCAACGGTGTGTTGTAGGAGAGCAGGGTTCCGATTGCCCTGAACAAAAATGGTCTCCAGGTGCATTCCCACCAAATCTCCAAGGTGGAATGAATTCCAAAATAGAAGTCAGGATACCAGACGGCTAGGCATGAATAGTTGTCATGAACATGGCGAATCGTCTCTCCCAGCCAAAGCAGGTCTCGTGACTACAGCCAGTGCCGTCGTCGATCTCATTTGCATCTGTGGTTTTCTTATGACTACATCTGACTCCGTATTCTTTGATGCAGCAAGTGAATGGGACGGAGGAAACTGGACCCAGAGCTTGAGGATTCGAAACCGAAACTCCCTTGCTAGCAGCTTCTTGTTTCCGTTGCTCGAGGTTACCCCAAAGGTGCGACAGTGTTTCTTTTAGCTGACCTAATCTGGAAGGCTGTTTCCGCAAACTGAAGGGACGTAAATTAGAATACTCGAAGCCTCTCTTTCTGTGGCCTAAGAATGCAATACGGTGATGACTTACTCGGCTGCATCAAGTTTAAGCAGATACACAGCATCAGCTCCAGAAACAAATAGCTTCATCCGCTCTCTGGGCTTCCCGTCTGGATGAGGCGGTGCACTTTCGACCAAAAGGCAGAATCGCCATTGCCATCTAATTAAGCGACCTGAATTCTGGGAGTTGTTTGTTTCATCAACCCGGGCGTCAGGACGCGGCTCATGACCCGACTCATCTGGAACGGCAAATTCTTCCAGTTTTGGAGGGAAAAAGTCAACCACGCGAACAGTAGCTCGGTAGCAGACATTTTGAAAAGGAAGGCGGTATTCAATTTGGTTAGGCGAGACATTTTCGTGAAACTCGCTGTCTAAGATGTCCTCAAGACTCATGCACCTTATGGATGGGTTTATTGCCTGAACTGTTTCCGGACATTCATTAGGTTTGGTTGTTTCGGTCTGAACGAGGACGAGCTTACCACTCTTATTGATTTCGTATTTTTTATACGACGAGAGCGAGGTTTGACCTTCTTCCCTTTTCGCTCTCTGTGTCCTGTTTTGGCTTTTCTCGAACTTTTTGCGACGGGAAGACGTCTCCTCCATCTCTTCAGCTTTCCGCTTTCGAGGGTCGCTCTTCCAATACTCCTTTCTGCGACGTAACAACTCTCGACCGCGCTCATCATTCTCAGCGTGGATCAAACGGATGTTCATTTCATCGGGGTTCTGACGATCGCAGTGCATAGCCGCTTCCAATGGAGCCCCTTCTACGCGACTTCGCTTAATATGGACATTTCTCAATCGAACAATGCTGCCCTCCTTGAGATGTTCTCGGGCAAAGCAAGCATGAGGTTCCCAGAGAGTCATCTGGAGAGTCATGCGACCAGCAGGACCTGGCCATTGTTTCTTAGAGCGCGGTTGGTAAGCATACTCATCTCCTTCACGAGCATTGTTGGCCTCAACGGTGTAGTTGTGAAGCGCTTCGTTCGTGGTGTAGTCAGTAAGATAGAGAGCGACCTTCTCGCTATCATTGGTGAAAATCTTGACTACTTCACCGATGAGATCCACGAATGTTCTTTCTTTGACATCCTTGATGAGGGAAAACCTTCGATTGGCATTTGACTGGGGTGCAGAGGCCACGGATTTCACTGATTGCCGAGTCGGGGGAGCATTTATCTCGGTTGAAGTGTTGCGGAAGGTTTTGAAGTTAGAGCTTTTGTCTATCAAAGACAATGCGTACGACTTCTCTGAATATGACGGCTCAAAAGGGAGCGGACCACAGATGGGAGGAGAGTCTGGCTCTGGACGGAATATTGCCCACGGGATAGTAGCCCCATCAGGTGCAACGCCTAGAGGCCTTCCCTTAAACTTTCTTATCTGTAGGAGAGTCAGTCAGTCAGCAATGCTTTACGGTTTATAGAGCTGAAGCGCTTACTGAGATGTTGCGTAATAGGATAACATCGCGCACTCGGACAGGCGGGAGATGATTTTCATTGTCTTTGAAGTACTTGATCTTCAGCCCATCCCAGACGTGTCCGTTGCCAAAGTCAGTGTCTTTGAGGGTGAATGTGATACACCGGGAGCGACTGGACTGGAAGACACCCTCGAAGACGTCCACAACCACTCCGATCACACTTACAAGCCCCGAAGAGGAGAGGGCAGTAGCTATGTCAACGTGCCGAGCCGCCGACTCGTTGACCATTTCTTCAAATCTCAATTGTATGATGCAGAGCAGATGTTCATAGTGCTGTAGGAAATGGATTCTGGGTCGATTGCTAAATGAGCTCCAGTAAGCTCTGCTAAATCGCGAAAGACATGGGCTATGTTTGGCAGCGAGGCCAAGTGCTTTCCAAATTTCTTATATCAAAATTGATGCTAGAGCTCATGAATGGGTATATCCAAGGATGATCATGAACCTGTTGCTTGTATAGTACTCCGTAGTATGGACGCGTCTTCATGCGATTAGGGCGGATTTGGCGCTTGGCAGGCGTGATGGCCGAAAACAGCAACAATGAAACCTCAGGCCAGAATAAGTCCCGTGACTTTAGCCAAAAATTCCCTTTCTGGCCTGCTGGACTAAGTTACTAACACTGGCACTAACCTTACACTTACTTTTTTCCCCTCCCCTCACACACCTTTCACCTTCTACAGACGCATTCCTCCATCTTATCTCTCTCTCCCCTCCAAAAAAGAAGCCTTTGCCTTCAACAACACAAAAGTCTATTTCTTCTCTTTCGACTTTTTGTGTCAAGAGCTTATCTCAGAGCTTCTTTTTCTTTCCTTCCTTTCTCTGAGATCTTTCCCTCATCTCAGCGTCGCTCCCCACTTTCTTTGGTGCGCTTTGTTTTCACCCCTCTGTGTCCCAAGCAACCATGGCCGAACGCTACATCCCCGAGCATCGTCGCACCCAGTTCAAGGCCAGGAACCAGTTCCGGCCTGACGAGCTTCGTCGTCGTCGTGAAGAGCAACAGGTCGAGATTCGAAAGCAGAAGAGAGAAGAGAACTTGGCCAAGAGGAGAGGTATTCAGACCCGGGATGGCGGGATTGGCGTAGGAGGTGGCATGGCCGCCACCGAGAGTGACGATGAAGCCAGTGCTATTGAGAGTGAGGTATGTTGTTTCGCTATATCTCATGAGTTTTGTTCTGCAAACTTTGTTATCTGCCTTGATTTTTCCCCAACCCCAGACTCATCGCCTGGTCTTTATTTGTTTTTGTTCACTCTACGCTCAACGACGACCTTTTCACCGCCCCCGGTTGCTGGGCTGAGTGGGATCCGCCCTCTAAATTTACCCATCGAGGGGCGCACACGACACTTTTCGACTCAATTCAATGCAGCATACTTTCTTGGTTGCATGAAAAATGAATAGATGGCTAATGAAAAATTCTTGTTTTAGCTCAACGTGGAGCTCCCGGAGATGGTCAAGGGTGTCTTCTCCGACCAGATTGAGTCGCAGATCCAAGCTACAACCAAGTTCAGGAAGCTGCTCTCCAAGGAGCGCAACCCTCCTATTGAACGTGTCATCGAGACCGGTGTTGTTAGCCGATTTGTGGAGTTCTTGCGCTCCCCTCACACCCTGGTGCAGTTCGAGGCCGCCTGGGCCCTGACCAACATTGCGTCTGGTTCCGCCCAGCAGACACAGGTTGTCATTGAAGCTGGTGCTGTGCCCATTTTCGTTGAGCTTCTCAGCAGCCCCGAACCCGATGTTCGGGAACAGGCCGTTTGGGCTCTTGGTAACATTGCCGGTGATAGCCCTCAGTGCCGTGACTTCGTGCTCAATGCTGGTGCCCTCCGTCCTCTGCTCAACCTCATCAATGATGGCCGGAAGCTGAGCATGCTGAGAAACGCCACATGGACTCTGAGCAACTTCTGCCGTGGCAAGACGCCCCAGCCCGATTGGACTACAGTACGTTTTTCTAAGCTATGCAGTAATTTCAATATTTTTTCTAACGCTTCCCAGATTGCCCCAGCTCTTCCTGTGCTTGCCAAGCTCATCTATATGCTCGATGACGAGGTCCTGATTGATGCTTGTTGGGCCATCTCCTATCTGTCTGACGGCTCCAATGATAAGATTCAGGCGGTCATCGAGGCCGGCATCCCTCGTCGTCTGGTCGAGCTGCTCATGCACGCTTCTACCTCTGTTCAGACCCCAGCCCTTCGCTCTGTTGGAAACATCGTTACTGGTGATGACGTCCAGACTCAGGTTATCATCAACTGCGGAGCTCTCCCTGCCCTCCTCTCTCTCTTGAGTTCCACCAAGGATGGCATCCGCAAGGAAGCCTGCTGGACCATCTCCAACATTACCGCCGGCAACTCTAGCCAGATCCAGTCCGTGATTGATGCTGGTATCATCCCTCCTCTGATCAACTTGCTTGCCAACGGCGACTTCAAGACCCGCAAGGAAGCTTGCTGGGCCATCTCGAATGCCACTTCAGGTGGACTGCAGAAGCCCGACCAGATCCGCTACCTGGTTACTCAAGGATGCATCAAGCCTCTGTGCGACCTCCTTGCTTGCCCGGATAACAAGATTATCCAGGTTGCTCTGGATGGCTTGGAGAACATTCTCAAGGTCGGAGAGATGGACAAAGAGACAGCTCAGGCTGGCGAGGCTCGCGTCAACCGGTACGCCTTGTTCATCGAAGAGGCTGGTGGTATGGAGAAGATTCACGACTGCCAGAACAATGCCAACGAGGAGATCTACATGAAGGCCTACAACATCATTGAGAAGTACTTCTCCGATGAGGAAGAGGCTGGCGGTGACATTGATGAGCTTGCTCCTCAGCAAACACAAACTGGTTTCGCCCTCGGAACCAACCAGCAGCAGCCTGGTGGATTCAACTTTGCCAACGGCGGTGACTCCATGGATATGTAAACCCGTCTTGCGAAGGCTCCGGCGGTCAAATTTTACATTATCCTCTTTTTCTCCCTTCTCTAGGACAGGAATAACGTTTCAAATTCTTCACCTCAATCACGTTGGATTACCTCATGCCTCTGTCTCTTGCTGTCATCAACCACCCCCCCGCCCCCAGCCTGCGAGCTAGGCTTACTTTTGTTAATTTCCTCCCTGTCTTATTCTACCCTTTCTCCCTTTTCAGCTATGATTCCTTCACGTTTTCATTTTCTGCCCTTTCACGATGCAAAAGATTCACCGTCATGTAGCCCCTATAGTTGCCCCTTCACGTCAGTTTCCTCGAAGCATCCCTCATACACAGGCGTCCATGTTGTTATTCGACTTGTTTCTCACTCGAATTCCCTTTTTTCGGATGTGATTTTGCTCGAGTGTGGCCCCTTGGTAGGCTGAAGTGCCGTGCGTCCTCATTATTAGAAATGGACCTGCACCTGGAGTAAGCCGTCTCAATACAAAAGCAAAAAGACCTTTCTAAAATGCCCAGTGCTCAAGCGTAACCCGTAGTGGTCATTGTGATTTCCCAATTATGCGTTTTTCTCGGACTCTTGGAAACCATGAGCTAACTAATCTTGAATTTTCCCCTGCATCATATGCCCCAACAGGACAAGTAGAGAGAACACGACGAACAGCTCCGCCAATATGTACAATCTCGAAAGAGGCAAGTTGCATTGATACACCACCACTCGGGCGATGATTCCGACAAGCTACTTGAACACAAGTTGAAATAAATTTTCAGGTATTAGACAGAGATGAGCGAAATGAAAAATTGGGGAATGAGATTTCAATAGATCGAGTAGAACATTCAATCAAAGACGACAATCGGATTTCGAAACTGGTTTGAAGCGAAGATGTAGACGTCGTCATAGCAATTTAAAGAGAAACGGAGAGAATCGAGATATCCAGCAAAGCGCCCGGCTCATCGTGCAGAGAAACGTTCAGTGCAGTGTTAGAATTTACATGAAGGAGAAACAAGAAGGCTGAGTAAAACGGCGGATGGGTAGGACAAGGAATGAAGGAGGAATTGGGAGATTAATCTCCCATCACTTCGTCCTCATTGGGATCTGGCACGGTGGGATTGTCGCCTTCTTCATCAAGGTCTTCATCGATATTCTCGTCCTCGACAAGTCCTCGTGCACGTAGATCATCTTCATCATCTTCCTCAGCGTCGAGATCAGGTTCGTGATCCTCCTCATCTTCGTCGTCGACTCGCTCGGCTGATTTGGAATTCTTTGATTGCTTGGTAGCACTCGCCCGGTCCTGTTGCGCATCTGCAGCGGCGGCTTGCTTGGCTTTCGATCGAGACGGTCGAGGCCCAATAACTCTGGGTTTGCGTTCATCAAGGAAAGATAACACCTCGCGGTAGTTTTGGCCTAAGCGGGACTTGTGCCGGACGAGCCGTTGCTTCAACTGTCCACGCTCCGAGCCCGAGGCGTCAACGATGCGCCCTATGATGGCAAGGACGATTTTGCCCGTCAGCTCGCACAGCCGTTGCTCCGCTAGGATGGTGGACCGCAGACGCTCGTTCGCCATTGATTCGCCCTCAGCTCCTGTTTCATCCTCCTCATCTGAAGGCTCCCGCTCGACGTCCGACTCAGAGGCAGGCGCGTCGTCTTCTGCAGGCTCGAGAGGCTGTCGTAACTTCCTAGCATATGTGCGTTCCGCGATGCCGTGTATCTTAGCGATCAGTGCCTGTGTATTTGAATCGATTTCGTGAACCAAACTCTGGGTTTGCATAATAACATCCTCGTCGTTCCCTGTGTTCAACCCAGCGTGGCGAAGTGTACCAAATAACGTTTGCAGGTCGAGCAGTGTTGTGGTCGCCGTGAAGCGAATGTCATCCAAACCACTGCGCTGTCTCATGACGGCGACTAGACTAGCAACAAACACCTCACGGCTCTTAGTCAGAGATTCAAAGTACGTTGTACTGAAAGCTGCCTTTCCTGCACTCAACGCCGTGGTTATGGCTTGTACTTTCCACATGAAGTAGAATAGCAGTGTCCGTATACTGCTGGTCACCAACTCAGTTTCCGCCTTGGCTGACTCGTCGTCTTCCTCTTCCTCGCGCAGACCGCGTTTGACCAAATGAATGAGCACGTTAAAGGGAGCTTCCAGATTTTCCTTCTTCTTGCCCTTGGACTTGGGCGACGGCTTCGTTTCAAGGACCTGCGTGCAGTCGGTCACACTGGCCAGGTTCAAAATTCTCGTCGCTGTGTTGGCAAGGTCATTCAGGGTTGGCATTGATATCGAGCTACCCTCAACAACTTCTTTCTTTTGCGACAAAGTCTCGAGGGCATCG